ATTATGTTTTCACACATGCACGCCCACAGAATAGATACCATTGGAGCAATACCACATATTAGGTTTGCACATATTAAAACCGAGGCATTAGTCTAATCCAATCCAAGTTCAAACACGCTTATTTGTAACATAACTATAATCAGCACTGTTATGAAATATATGTAAATAATGGCCTCTGTAGTAGTGAAAGTTGGAATATGGAAAAATAAATGTAGGCCACAAGGATTAAGAATAGTTTGCAATTTTTGTTTGGGTTTTTTTTTTTTAAACCTGTCAACCAAAATCATCCCATAAGTAAATAATGTTTAGCCTTAAACCGTAGCATTAAGACTAGTGTGTGACTGACATTTCATACCAGTGACAATAAACCAAATAATTAAAAACAGAAATCTTGAAAGGTAATAGCTTCTCAAATCCATTAAGTAGTTAAAGGTTATGAGAAAAAGCTGGATTACTGCTCACAGCTAAACTCCTAATTAAATGACACTACGTAATTTGTTTCTCAATCCTTTTTCTCTCCATAAGCACAGTGCAGGTTAAATGAATGGGCAATGAAACATGTGTGTCACTTACCCTTATTCTGAGGAGACAAAAACAATCCTTTTCTGCCCCCCCCCCCCCCCCCCCCCCCCCCCCCCCCTTACCCAATTCTTTGTCTGTATGTATTAGAGCAAAAGTGAGTATGGTAGATTGGATAAGCAGACACACAACTGCTGGCAAATTGTTTGCTTAATTACTTTTTTTTTTTTTCTTCTTTTCTTCAAAGCACACTTGCAAAGAGGGATGCTTCCCTCTCCTGGCTGCTCTTAAGAAACTCAAAGACTTCCTGGTCTCATGTGGCTACCTTCCCTGCGTCTCATGTTACCACTGCTGCTGGATACCTCTTTGCAGACCAGTCCGTTTGACAGCAAAACATGTAGTGTGTGCGTTTTCTGAATGCAGGCATAAGAAATCAAGTTTGTGTTTAGTCTATACAGTTTGTGACCACTTGTTTGCTTCCTTGACTAAATTCAGAGAAAAACTTTCTCTAAGAACTCGTGCATCAGCTGCCTCAGACAACAAACTCACGACCTCATGAATCTCTTGTTTGAGCCGGAATGAGGACAAATGAATAGTCGACGATATTCAACGAATAGGCGACGAATGGTCCCTCTGTACAGCATTAGGTGCTGAGGAGAGATATCAATAATCAAACAGTAGTTCATGGAGACAACTGTTCTTTTTAAGGATGGCAAGGCCAATGCAAAGTCAAATTAATAGTTAAAAACAACTAAATATCACAAAACTGCTGGAGCAAATGCCTATCACAACTTAAAGTTCCACTTGTTAAAAACAAAAAACCCAACAAACATTGTTAAGTTAACTTATTCATGTTTGTAGGTATAAACAAACCCTTAAACTTTTGCCTGAAATCATTTAAATCTTCCAAAACAAGCTGACCATAAATCCACCAGGGCTGGATCAGGTAAATCTACTCTCTATCGAGGAGTAGAAAGAAAAAGAATGATCTGTAAATGTGACAGTGTGTATTGAATGCAAACATAACCCTGATGGGATCGGGCATGCTAAACAGGCTAAACGGGCATATTAAATGAGGAATCTCTGAAGGCCGACCCATCGTGCACCTCTCACCCTCAGATGACAGACAACTGATGAGTTGGATTTCAAACGTCCACAGAGAACCAGTCTGGCTGTTCTGTCTCTGGAAGAGAGGACTGAGGATGTTGGAGGTGGGGGGGTAGAGAGAAAAAGAAATGAAGAAGGGAACGGGGGATGGGACAGGGGGGAGTTTTTTTGTTTTTGTTTTGGGTTTTTTTATGGGGGGGGGGGGGTTTGTAAGAGCAGAAAGCCTAGCAGATCAAAGAAAATAACATGGGAGAGGATATGAGTGCTTTGAGAAGTAATATAGCCGAGATAGCATCTGTTTTCTGTAGCATGCAGGAGGCTTGAGACAAGCCCAGGGAAAAGACAACGGAGAGTGGGCGCGCTTTAGCCGGGGATAAGGCCCGACACAAATGGGTTATTAAGAAGCCCTGGATGTAATATCTGGCTGTCATTAAAGTGTTTCTTTTGAAATGATCCGAGGCTGGAGATAGGGGGATATTTTATGATTGCGACAGTGATTAAGACATACTATGATGGACGATCTTAAGGGCAGTTTTTAACGCGAGTTGATTTCTGTCTTTTTGTCAGATATTAAAGAAAGAAAAAGGGAATGTCATTTTGACACTGTTGGACAGCTTACGAAACTGGAAGTTTCAGAGGGAAACAAAAGACGTGAAAAGAGAGTTAGTTCTTAACGCAGGCCAACTTTAAATCTTACTTTTAGTCATGTGCTGGTTCTTTTGGTGGTTTGAAAGTGGGACTCATGTTCCAGCATTTCAGTCAACGTTTTTTTAACCCAGTTTGAAAAAAATTTAAACATATATGTCAGCCTGGAAATGAGACAGGAACCTGGAAGCTTTGGTCTACCAAGTTAAAACCACTCATAGGTCGCAGAACTGCGTGTTTTTTCCGGATGGCCGAATAATGCCCCCTCCGATCTAAACTGCAATAAGCCAGAACTGGATCCAGACTTCTTCAAAAGTCATTTCATCCCTTCCATTTTTTTTTGCCCTTTTTCTCTCCCTCCATTTCTTTCTTTTCATTTTCTCTGTCCCTCTAAAGCCCTCTCTCTCGCTATCTGCTTTATTTATTGCAAGTCCAGTCGTGTGGTATAAAGCCATTACCCGCACATATGTAGCTTTTTGAATAATCAATAAAGAATTTTTTTATTATTTAATAGGATTGTATGGGAAAAGGAAATGGGTTTTATTACATAAATCCATCACAGATGATGAATAGGCGCACTTGTAAAGTTGGACAGGGAGAGAAGGAAAAGTGGTTGGACAGGCCTTTTGCTTCCACTATGCATTGCTGAGCACTTTCTTCATGCCAGGTTGTAAATATGACATTTTTGTCTCTTTGGGACAGTCAATTGGAGTGCAATGGGGGGGAGGGGACTGTAAATTCTGCGAGATTAATTAGCCTCTTATATTTGCCATTCAGCCCTGCACCCTCGTTCTGTATGTGGTGACCCCTATGAGCAGGGAGGTGAGGGACCTGGCCACAGTCGGCCCAGGAAGTCTCGACGGCTCATTCCAAATGAGTTATTAACAGAATTTTTTGAATAGATGGAAAAATTGTAGTCTGGCCATTTAGTGTCATAAAGGCTGGGTTGGCGAGGCGGCAGGGGCCTCCCAGGGACAGGAGGCAATACCATTACAATCAAATCTGAGATGGAAGAGGGATTGAGCTGTCCATTCTGAATTTTTATATTGTTGCTGGGCTGGAGAGGAAATAATGCCATCCTGGAGTGTATTAACCTCTGGCTGGGGAGAGAGGACGGGGAGAATGTGAGGGTGAGCGAGAACGAAGGCAGGCCAAGGCTGGGATCTGAGATTGGACAGCGAAGTGAAAAAAAAAAGGAGGAGGAGGAGGGGGGAAATGAAGGGACAACACCGAGTTTCATGCCGTTTGGTGGGAAAGCTAAAGAGGGAGAGGCAGGGATATGAGATGGCCAAGAGACAGAGCCAGAACACAGTACGTTGAGAAAGAAATAATGCAATAAGGAAAGGGAGAGAGTGAACGAAGTGTAATGGGAAAGAGAGCTCATATGATTGTGAAAGCACAGCAGAGGAGGGTTGATGGGAAAAGATATAAGACTTAAGGTGGAATAATAGGGAAGACTCTGGGAATAGAAAATAAGAGGAAAACCTGAAGTCAAGATGGAGGCTAAATAGAGAGAGGAAAGATTTTGTGATTTTTTTCTTAGGACAATTTCTGCAAGATAAAAGGTGTGAAAGTATCATTTTATAACTGACTTGGATAAATATGGCACAGCCTAACATTAAAATATTCCCTTTTGAAAGATTTTTTTGGATTAAACAAATTAAAAGAGTACATAGCTTATGCTGAAGGTGCTCAATGAAGCAGACTTACAATGAGAAATGTGGAATTATATGATTATTACAAATGCACTGACATGTAGGCATTTCTAACTTGTATATATTTACCTAATAGACGAAGGGTGCATTTTATTAGTTTGCTAGCTTTAAGTAAATACTGACTGTTTGTCTTCCTGTCATCGATCTGCTGTGTAAGAAAATCTTTAGAGGTGGCTGGAACTATTTGGAGAAAGAAACTTGTGCAAAGAAAGCTTTGCTGGCTCTACAGATGTTTTTTACAAGCACACATGTTTGCAAAAAAATCATCTCTATCAAAGATAAATAAAGAAACCTTTCTATCTAGCTGGCAATGTATTTTTCACTTGAGGAACAGGAAAGTTCTATTCTAAAAGGCCTTGGCTGGCTCATGATAGTAGGACAGGGTCATCTTAGTCCTCATAATAAACTCCTGCTCATTCACACCATTCTTTATACTGTGCTATATATCAAATGGAACCATTAAAATTTCAGCAAGTCATATAACTAACATGTAATGATATGTTGATGAAAAGCAACATGACATGTACAAAAACAAATAACCAGAAACTGCAATACCCCCAACTTGATATTGTCTTCAGGGTACGGTGCACATAACCATTTAAATAAAAAATGAATTTCCTTAACTCAAAACCATTTTGATTATTGTTCAATTTAAGTTGAAGTTTATCTTATTTGAAAAATCATTTGAGAACAGGAAACTGTTACGAAACCGGATATACCGGACACTTGTGTTTTCTTTTTCTTTTTCTTTTTTACGTGGACGCCAGTGCGCACAGTAAATTCATCAACTCCATATGGAGTCTTCTCCACAGGTAAGTCCACGTTTGACTGTAATTCGCTGACGAAAAACAACTAATCATTCTACTAATTCATGTTGCTAATGTTTTTAATTAACACGAGCAGATATACATTTGCATTGTAAATATCCGAGGGTTTTTTAGGGAGTTATACGCAAAGTATTCACCTGTTCCAGCGCCTGTCGCAGTCGACCAATAGGATCACAGTTGAGAGGTCACAGCGGGGCGGAAGTTGTTGGCTCCTTATGCCTCTGCAGCAAGTGCTTGCTAGCCTTTAGCAGGCTAACAGGCTAGCAGGCTTTTCATCTTCTGTTTGTCTTATTCTGCAATACGAAGCCATGGAAAAGTGTAGGTCACACGAAAGATGAAGCTGGTGCTTACACGGGAATGATTTTCACGGTTATTGCCTCTGAGAAGGAGGATAGGCACACGTAAAGAAACCCGGAAGTGCTGCTAAAGGTAAAAGGCTTGCTATTGTAGCTTATGTGATTGGCTAGGAGCAGCATTAGCCGTAAATAGTAACAACTGTGATAAGATTATATGTTAAATCGCGATTGCTGCAATGCTTTACGTTATGCTTTTTGGTAAAATGGAAGCATTTTCTTTGGTCGTTGAAAATCAGCTGCTCTGTAGCCCTGATAACGTTACTGGTAACCACTGTGTGCTTTATCAAGCACACGAAAACAAGAGTTAATTAAGTTTAGTTCCATATTTGATACTGGTCAGCTACATTTGGATAGTTTTTTTTTTCAAATGATTGTTTGTGACTAAGTCTCTTTTAAATACTTGTTAAACACATTTTGAATTTAAAACGAACAGTGCAAAGTAGATTGTAACATTTTTTAATATGACATAACGGTCTGTCTTGTATTAGGATGAAACTGGTATATATTTTTGTGAAGGACATCTCTCTTAATGTATTTGTGAGAGAGGGCTACAAAAAAAACTGATTTTTTAGTTTGGTTGCATAGCTGCAATGAACTGACAGTTTGTTTTATTGGATATTTAATATGACACTGATTTCATTTTCTCCAGATGAACCTGTAACAGAGTATTTGTATTATTGCTTCAAACATAAATGGATGCAAACTCGACCATCCCTCTTCAGAAGGGATTTTTGTTGGGCAGATTTGGGCTCTATGACGTTGTAGCCTTTGCTCCATAATAAAAAATCTTCATCTTCCTTTCTGCTCCTGCAGCTTTCAGCAGCCACAGACACAATGAGTGGCAAATATGGCGTGGTGGGCTATAACAGTTCAAGGAAGCACATTTCTATCTCCATCCCGTCGTCCACAGAGGTGATGTCACCTCACATTAAGTCCGTGGAGGAGCTGAGGGTTCTGGGAATCAACCTAAGCAGCTTCAGTGCCCCCACGCAGTTCTTGATCTGCGTGGCTGGAGTCTTCCTCTTTTACCTTATATATGGATACTTACAGGTAATCCAAACAGAATAACACACATGTGCTGTGAAATATATTTGGTATCATTGTTGGGCTTCTGTAAATAACTTCAGAGTAGGGTCTGACCTGCTCTTTTTGGAAAGTGCTGTGAGATACCTGTTGTTGTGATTTGGCGCTAAATACATCAAATAGAATTTAATAGAATTCCAATAAAGAAAAACATGGTGAAATGAGAATGGAACTATTTTTAAGAGGGTTGTTTAACCTTTTTCCTTTATCTGTGCATCCATGTAGGAGCTAATATTTTCCGTGGAAGGATTCAAGCCTTTTGGTTGGTACCTCACTCTGGTCCAGTTTGGCTTCTACTCCATGTTTGGACTAGTGGAGCTTCAGCTTACACAAGACAAACGTAGAAGGTACAAGTGATGCTATTCCTCTCTTTGGTTCTCTTGGCTGGTTTTTCTAGTACATGCTCTTTACGCGTAAAATCCCCAACAATGGATTTAAGGTTTTTGTTTTGGGGAGTTTTTTAATCTGTTGGATTTCTGATCCATTGCCTTTTCTTTTTCTTTTTGTTCATTCTCCTCCAGGATACCAGGGAAAACCTATATGATCATAGCCTTTCTAACGGTGGGCACTATGGGCCTGTCAAATACCTCTCTGGGCTACCTTAACTACCCCACGCAGGTCATCTTCAAGTGCTGTAAACTCATCCCGGTCATGATCGGGGGCATCTTCATACAAGGTGAGCTGAATGTAGTACTGGCTGTACCGCCACATGCTCTATAAGCCTCCTTCTCCCTCATTCTGAATATCGTTGATCTGCATAGATGATCTAAGTGTTTACCCACCCCCCTCTCTTATTTCTCATCTTTTTCGTTAGATGTGTTTGTGTGAGTTTATTTATCATCAGATCATATCAGGTTTTCACTTGAACACCTTATTTGATCATCTTTTGCCAGGAAAATAGGAAACAGGTAATAGTGGTGGCCGTGCTCAATCAGTTTAGTAATACTCTTCAGGAAAAGTTCTTCTGGTAAAATTCCCCTACATAGGAAACCCTCCAGCTCTTCTTTGGATGTCGGCGGCCTTATTTTTTTTCTGTTCTCTGTGCAGATGTACCCAGCAGTCTTTCAGTAAGGCTGAATTAACTATTGGGAGGATTCATCCCTCAAAATGACCCGGTGCCACTGATTAAAAGTCCAATTACTAATTTGGCATGCTGAGATATGTCCAGCTTTTATCAAGTTTGTTATCTCTGGAAAATTTCCTAAGTGTGACTAAAGAAATTGGATCAGCTTTTTGTGTCTTAAAATGCTTAAAGATACAATTGAATAACTGTTTTATGCCGGATTGGTTCACGGGTCAGGGTAAGTTGCTTGACTACTAAATAAACCCTAAAAAACAAAACATTTTTCTTTTAAAATGCTCAGGAAGCGTGGCTTGACAGAAAAAACGGTCAATATTCAACAAGACATTGTGAAAGACCCTCGGATGCTCTGGAGATTGTTTTGTTTTTGCTCAGAGCCACATTATGATAGCACAACGCACTAAAAAACGTTTTAAAAAAATGACATCCTGCATTTTAAATACCACACCAACTCTGATCTGGATCATCAGATTATTGTAGGCAAAGCCAGCATCGTAAAATTGTGATAAATAATAGCTACGGACGATGGATGGACCAGGAAAAGCATTTTTTTTAGAGCCGATTGTTTATCTAAATCCGGTCACGACAGGTAGACCTGAAAGAGGTTCATTTTCAGTCATCACAGGAATCCTTTGAGGGAGCCTTTAACTCTGCTCTCCCTTTTATTTTCGGCCATCAGATCACAGGCGGCGGCCCTTTCTCCCCGCTCGTAGTTCCGCGCGTCCTTTCATCCTCAAACCGGTCCCAAGGTTCTGCGTCCTCCACGTCAGTTCTGCGCTTCTTCTTCTTCTTCTTCTTCTTTTTCTCCCCGCGTCTTTGGGGATGAGCAGATTTTGAGGACTCCGGCCCCTCAAGGGGTAGAGCGGGAAGCGTCGGTTCACTTAGACCGCGGCGAGGAAAGAAAGTGTGAGAAAAAGGGCGGATGAATGATGGGAGGGGTTGTTAGGGTTGCATCTGATGTGAGGCCCTTCAAAGGCGAGTGGGGGTATCAAAGCCGACCACAGCCAACCTGATGCCGCGTCCCCCTGTCAACCTGAAGGCATCCGTCCGTCAGTCTGTTTTCATCTTGTTGTTTTTCTCCCCCTCTTTCCCCCCCTTTTTTTTCTCCATGCTTTGCTTCTATGTGCATTGTTTCACCCTAGATTGTGAAGAAAAACTTTTTATCAGTTCAATCGTCGACTCACTTTGGTCCTCAGAGTGAGTCACCGTGAAAAGTTGTGTTTGGATGGCCGCCGTTGTCACGCTGTAAAATCTGTGAGGGTTGCCCGACATCTGCGTTTGTGTTTTAAGGTAAACGCTATAATTTGGCTGACGTGTCGGCGGCGCTCTGCATGAGTCTGGGACTCATCTGGTTCACCCTGGCTGACAGCAAAGTGGCACCAAACTTCAACGTCACAGGTATTTCTTTCAGGAAAAGGAATCTTGCCAGGGGAAAATGTCTTTGACAGTTTTTTTCCCCTTAGAATTGGATATAAATGAGCATCTACCAAAGATAGGTGTAGGTTTTTTTGTGTGAGATAAGTTCATCTTTGTTCTCGCCGGTTTGAAACAAATAGCGTAAACAAATATTTTCCTCCGAACTTAACAGCTTAATATTAGTATAATATTAGATTTTTTTATTGTAGCATTCTGGAGCAAAGAGCATTCGTCCAACTGCACATTAGAACAAATGCAGGCTTCTGCATGGGCTTAATTTCTCAGACCCGGAGGCCAAGTTCATCTCTCACATGGAACCACAAATCCCATTTAGTATCTCGCCTTATCCGAACAGTGGAATACTGAAAGGGAACGTCATAGTAAAAAAACTGGGAATTGGGATTTATTTATTTCTCTGAAATATTGACATCGGGTTTCCTGTAAACGGTGTAAACAGATGGAAGAGTCAACTCTGGGTTTTCTGATCCCCATCCGGTCCTTAGAGGTATGCAGGGTCACTGCAGCGCCCATGTGCATCGGTCAAGCCTTCGGCTGCTCTTTTCTCCACGGGAAAAGACGCTTCGTCGGAAGCCTCTTTCGTTAGCGTTCAGGTTAAGGGGTGTGACTTAACTATGCTTGTCCGGCGCAGGTGTCCTCCTCATCTCGCTGGCGCTGTGTGCCGACGCTGCTATTGGGAACGTGCAGGAGAAAGCCATGAAACTCCACAATGGCTCCAACTCGGAAATGGTACGCAGTTCATCTCACTAAAGGGAAGCAGTGTATTCACAGATCAAATGTCTCCGTAGGGAGTAACGAATCTGAAAATAAAAAGAGAAGACATAGTCGTACGTGTTTGAGTGCTAGTGAGATCCTGGATTTAACCCGGAAAACGTTTTTCTTTTATTTTATTTCTGTGTTAGGTGCTGTACTCGTACTCCATCGGGTTCGTCTACATACTGACCGGTCTGCTGTGTATGGGCGGACTGGGGCCAGCGGTGGCGTTCTGCTCAGAGGTGATGTGATTGTCTTTACCGTTTCTATATTCTGCCAATCTCAAGATAAGCACACGTACTCGCGTACGTCCTGGGCTCTGACAATTGCGTCATTTGAGCCTTTGCGTTGGGCTTTTAATGTCGTTCCGTAAATTAGGTGAATGTTCATTTATCTGTCCTCATCTTCTGCCTCTCAGCATCCTGTGAAGACGTACGGTTATGCCTTCTTCTTCTCTCTCACCGGCTATTTTGGAATCTCCTTTGTGCTAGCCTTAATCAAGCTCTTTGGGGCCCTCGTAGCAGTGACAGGTCAGAAATGTTTTTATTTGTTTATTTATTTTTGTATGAGAGCCTTATTAGTTTCTATCCACCTCTCATTTTGTATATATCTAGCTATATTTATGAGGAATTTTGTATATATATATGTATATATGTATAGACATATACATATGTATATGCCTTTGTTTTATTTTGCTTATGGAGCCTGTAACAAAAATAATTTCCCTCTGGGATTATTAAAGTATTTCTGATTCTGATTCTGATTCTGATTTATATGAAATGGATTATAATGCCATTTTAAGTGTAAAGAAAAAAGTAAAGATGGACCCATGAATGTGTTGTGACCCTTTGCAGTGACCACGGGCAGGAAGGCCATGACTATCGTACTTTCCTTCGTGTTCTTCGCAAAACCCTTCACTTTCCAGTAAGTACGGTCACCTTTCGACTTTCCGAGCTTCCCTCCTCCTTTAAACCGAGTCCAGAGTCTGACCCCCGGCCCCTCGCCTTTTGATAGTAAAAGCTCGATTTACTTTCCCTGGCTTTCATTTCCTCAGTCCACTCCCAGACCCTTACCCTCCTCCTTGTCCCTCACTCTGTTTCCGCTCCCACTGAGTTGGCCTCTAACTCTGCGGAGCTGTCAGAAGGGACTCGTTTTCAAGCGTACCTCTCTGGCTCCGTTTCTGCGTTGTGACATTTGACTCGCATGCGTGCGCGTCTTCATACAGTAAACTTTTGTGTATCGTGGTCCAGTTCATCCTCCCTCCAGCTGTAGTGTGCCCTGCACTGGTTCTTCTTTTTAATGGCCGATATTAACCAACCGATTCTTTTGTCAGCGTGGATAATACCAGCCAGTGGTGATTATTAACTAAGCCTGACCTTATCCTAATTGGAGTTTTTTTTTTGTTTGTTTTTTATCAATTATCGTGATGAAACTGTGCAATTAGGATGTGTAACCCTAACCCCATTGGCAAATATTTGGCAGCGCGGCAGCATTAACAGCAGTCACTTTTAACCACACAACAGAAACTAAATGAACTTCAGCTGAACCGTCCAAAAGAGTAAAGAATAAACGCATTATTTTTAAAGGTGCCCTCTGGAATTTTTATCCCGTGCACAAAATCTCACCGAGCGTTTCTTGTTAAATCACACTACGCGTGTGTGTGTGTTTGTGTGTGTCTGCGTGTGTGTGTGTGTGTGTGTGTGTGTGTCCTTAGGGTCTAATGCACTACTTTTCATCCTTTGTCTTGCAACATTTTTATCTTGCGTCCGTCTGTGCTTGAAGTTTTGCTCTGAAGTTGTCTTTGCTTGAACATTGCGGAAATTCAGGCAACACTTTGAGAACGGCCCCACTTCCAAAAGTTACATTTAAAAATCTGACAAATGCACCGGTTCGCTAAATTAATTAACCAGTATTCACCATTGTTTTCTTTGTTTTTACTCTTAAGGCTGAATCTATTTTGCATATTAACGAGTCTATTTTCACATGAACAGCAATGACCTAATATCTCTCTCTCTTGCTTTTCATCAGGTACATCTGGGGCGGCCTGCTGGTGCTCTTTGGCATCTTTTTGAATGTTTACAGCAAAAACAAAGATAAAATGAAGCTCCCCTCAATCAAGGACCTCAGGAGCTGGCTGCTGACGGGGAAGAAGGTCCGATTCCTGTCCCAAAACGTGTAGGAGGCACCGCCGGTGTGATGGAAGTCCTCCGGGGGGGGGCAGGCTGCCCGGGCCTTCCCCGTCCTGAGACGTGTCGGCCCCCACGTGCAGAGGCATGTGCCCGAGCTACAAAACTGAGCCAAGGATGTGGGTATACAGGGTTTGAGCTCCAGTCGGCCTTACAGACCTGACGCGATTAAACCGCGGGTCCGGGAATCGTCGGATCTTCTGTATCTACCAGTACAACGAATATAAAAAAAGTGCTCCATCAGCAGCGAACTGAAGGATGTATATAAATGTTTTTTTTTTTTTTTGTTTGTTTTTTTCTTGTTTTTTTTTTTAAAAGGGATCAGCGCCTTGTGGGACCCCTTCTTAAAGCACTGCTTTAGAGCCCCACAGTAACATTCCCAACATGGAGTTCAACACTGAGGACGTCTTAAGACTCTCTGAAGGGAAGCCAGCTCCTTAGCTAACCAAATTGCACACTTTTGCACTGGAATCGACTCTGAAACACTTAAACCCTTGAGTGGTTGGAAGAAAAATGAAACGTTGGAAGGAAAGAGTACAGAGAGACGCGTTAGTGTGTGTGTGTGTGTCATGTCTAAACTGATTGACGCCCACCCTTGAAAGGAATAAATCCATTTCGATAAGAAGAAATATTTGCCCCCGCATGTACCAGAAAAAGACGGAACTGAGTGGTATTTTTAAGGTAATCATTGTCTTTAAGTGGCTTTCACAGTTTATTCGTAATTCATATCTGACTAATAATCGGAGGGGAAAGTGTGGGATGTGTGTCATGTGATGAAATCTTTTCGGGGGAAATAAAAGGGGTCATTTGTTCCTCTGTACATCAACAGTGTCAACTGCCGTAATTTGCCAAGCATCTCGTGGGTGAAAGGGTACAGCTCTTTTTACAATAAAGGATGTATTTAGTCTTTACAGCGGTTTGTGTCTGAGTGAGTTTGGTTTGTCAGCCTACCCTTCTGGTCCGCTTCAGAGAAGAGTTGAATTGTTGCCAAAATCTGTGTGTGTGTGTTTATCCATTCAGTGGCTGGAGGCATGTTTGATTAGAGGTCCTCCCCCCCCAAAAAAAGAGAACTATTGGACAGAAAATAAACACGGCAGTCTTCCCAACGTGTGTGTAAGCTGTCCTACTCCTTTGCAGCCCAAATTTCTAGATATGTCAGTAACAGAAATGCAAATTCCGTCTTTAAATCCGTCTTTGAACTCACCAACTGCTGAACTACTTAACCGGTCCAGCGGCGTCTCCCGAGCTACGTCCACTAAATGGTCAAAAAGCGCCCGTCGTTGACTTCTGCTTCTGTCAGTGATGCGTTCACGTGATCGTGTTACAGTTGGTCATTTTCTCATTCTGCATCTGGTTTCAATCCATTTCCAAGATCGTCATTGACATAGATACGTGTGCTTGTCCAGTCCAATTGTACGCTTGTGCGTGTTAAACTGCAGTGTCCTTTTTTTATGCTCGGCACAAAATGTGAGGGGAACAGTGGTGGATAATTTGACAGATTTCTGCACCGTTGAGCAGTAGGTTTCAATTACCGACACGCCAATCAATGGCGGAACCAAGAAGGATGTTTAATCGTTCATTGAACGCTTTATACGTGACATTTTGAGCTCGGGCCTAAAAATTATTCTCGCCGCATTACGTTGGATTTACTGCTGTGAAATCCAAAGGTGTCCAGGTAAGAAGAAAAAAAAATTCTGCCATAAAGCTATAATACGCTTTATTTCGCTTTATTAAGACCGACGACTGGAAATCGGACAGAGAGCAATTCAAAATAGTTTTGGATGAAGACACGCTAAGAGAGGCTTTTTGTCCTTCATTTGAATTTTTCTGTTATCCGTGTGTGTCACCGTCATGCTGTGAAATGGCAGACACTTGCACGCACAGCAGGGGACAGGCTGAGAATGTCTCTCTCTATGATCCTAATAGAGGCCTCGATATTACAGTCTCACTTCCAGCCGGGAAACCCAACGCTAGGCCAATTAGTAATTTGGTATTTCATAAAATTTGGCAGCTTGTGTGCGATGACAAACTGACAGAGATCCTCTCTCCTTCAGGGAACCTTTGGCAGTGCGGCACACAAAAAGGCTTAAGTACATCCTCCACTGCCTAGTGGCAAGTGCTGCACAGACTGGGAGGATGGAACTCGGTTGGAAAAAGAAAACAACAGTGCAGGCACAACATCAGAAAAGGGTTTTGTTCCAGATTCCTTTTAACTACCTTTTTTTTTTCGTATGATTGATGAACAGAAAAACAGTCCATTAGAGGTTGAGGGGGTCATACTGCGGTACTAAAAACATTAGTTTTCCATTACACACATTTGATGTGCGCCGCACAATGCTGCTTTATCGCTATGGGAACGGCTATTCTCTTCCAGCTCCCTGAAAGGTCATTATGGGATGGGAAAGCCCAGTTGACCCGAGGCAAAGTACATCATTTGTCTTTTAGCACCGGGAGAACACACCTAACAAAGCAGGCTGACCCCTGTTAGAACACTGTGAATTTCAGCCATTTTTCAAAGCCGAGCAATCCTTTTTTTTCATCGTGAAAGAAAGGCATTTTCGTTTTCCTGTCTTTTTTTTTTCAATCTATTTCCTCGAACGTTTAAAGGAAGTTCCATTTGAACAGGTGAATATTAAAAAAACAGTCCAAAGTAACAACTGATTTATTATTACACACCTACTTGTCTACACACACACCTGCAAACCTGGGCCATCCACCTTAAAGTCTACTATGACTTCAGCCCCGATCTAATAAATAATAAGAGGTGTCCGAGGCTCATCATTCCACCAAATAGGCTGCTATGTAATATGCAGTCCGCTTCGGAAAGGCGCCATATAATATGTGGTCAGACCTCGGACGGCCGGGGCGGGGAGAGATGGCAGCCCATTCATTACGGGTGCAATCAGTTCAATGAAAGATGTGCAATGGCTCTCATAGAGATGTGTACAGACACACTGGCTCTCTTTGTCAAACACACACACACACACACACTCATCTTTAGTGAAGAGCTATGAATACAGGAAATGTTTTTTCTCATTTGTTTTGACCCAAAAATACGTGAAATTCAAAACTTAATGTAATTTTTCTTTTACTGATAAACCAATTTATGTAAGTAACCGGACTTGACTTCACATACTTTTCCTAAACACTGTATGTTTTATATATATATATATATATATATAGACGTTTAAAGGAAGTTACATTTGAACAGGTGAATATAAAAAAAAACAGCCCAAAGTAACGATTTATTATATTATATATATATGCTTCTAGTTTCTCTGAATAAAGAATACCTGGATCATGATTTAATCACAATCATAATAAATCTTTATGTATGGAGAGTTGGCGCTCCTCAGATGGAAAACAACATCGATCCATCCATTGTCCATATCTCATACTATATAGTAGGCTGCTGGAGCCTATTCAATTTTTCAGTGGGCGAGAAGTAGGGTGAGCCTGAGTGAGAACATGCAAATTCCATACAGAACGCCCCCCCCCCAGGGATTCGAACCGGGAACCCTCTCTTAGGAAACAACGTGCACTCTTGCAATTCATTTTCATTGACAATCAGAAAGGAAGTGTAAGCCCACCTGCATCCAGTTTTGAATATAGCTCTATATAATTTCTGGTTGTGCAAGCTATCATATCATATATCATATATATAAGGGGACATACAATAAATAATAAAGGCAAGGCCATCTTTGTACCAGGCATGGTTGTTTACCTGTGGTAATGGCCAGGTCCACTGCCCATGACATGGAACTTTGATGTAATTTGATATGTCTGTGCGATATTGGTTTTGTGTGCTTGCATTAAAAGCACACGTTTAGCTAATCTGATTGATGGCAATTGAGTGGAAAATATGTTGTTAATGGTTGTACATATTTGTGCGGATAAAGATTTAATGCCTCTCGAATATGGCGTCTCTATCTCCGTGGCAGGTGTCGACATCATTATACTGCAACAGGATTCAGAATCTACTGATGATAGGTTCAGGAATCATCAGTAGCATGACTGGAGAGCTGAGGAAGAAAAATGTATCCATTCTGCGGTTTTTCATTATCATTATTAACATTTTTATCGGGCTATTGTTGCGTTTTTCCATTAACCAATATTCATACTGTACATTGTTCTGGGATCGCGTTGCCTTCCGTCATTTGTCTGGCTATCGTTTCACCCCTCATCATCCACTCATGCTCCACCTCCCCTCCTTCCCTTTCCTCCCTCTTCGCAGCTGCCTCAACACCTCTTCCTTTTTCCTACCTCATTACACCCCACCCACCCGTACCTCAGCCTCTGTGAGAAGCTCCCCTTCATATAATATGATGGCCATCTGCTCGGCTGAACCACGCTTTCCAAAAGCCCTGCAGCTAGATGTTTATCTGTCATCCCCCCCCCCCCCCACCACCCCTTTTCAAACTCCTTTAAGGATGCAAAACATATCAGCAATCATTGCAGCTACAATTAGCACACAGGTGCCGCTGAGCTGTAAAGTGATCAGGAGAAATGGGAGGAAACATAATTGAAGTGGATTAGAGCGGAAAAGTGGGAGGGAAGAATGAAATAAAAATTCCGATGGTTTTTTGGACAGCGACCCGTTTTGAAATTCACTGCGCTGTGATTAAAATCGGAGCAGATCGGTGGCGGAAGTCCTGGCAAAGAGTTGTGGTCTTTAACAGCTGTCCAGTTTTTGTTTTTTTTCTCGAATGCGATTCTGTCAGAATGAAATGTGGAGTTTGAGTATGCGAATGTCCGTTGGATAACCAAGATCAGCGCTCGTTATGCATGAACTCTATGTATTTTTCAGCATAACCTGAGGAGCTTGTGCAGGGGTGTGTGCGTGTGTGGCCTTGGTGTGTGTTGCTGCACATGACAAACGAAGGCCTCGCGTCACCGTCCGCCGTCAACGCGGCGGCAAACATTTGAGCATGCACATGCAAACAAATGTCGTGCTCTACACCTTCACACACGCGTCATTTCAGTAGCTGGAGCCGGAGCTGAAATATTCCACAGCAGTCACTCATGAAGAGAAATTCTTAATAATAAATATCCAGCCAATAATGAATGTGCTGCTGGCTGCAGTTGTCTTGAGGGCATAATATCTAATTTCCTCCCAATGTTTCATATCCCTACCCCTGCATGTCGACACAGTCCATCATTACACCCCAATGCAGGTTCCTATCACTTTTATTTATTTTTCAAATCAATATATAAATCACGGCCCGGACAGATGAGATCCAATAAATTACAGAGTGCCGGACAAATGCGGAATGTTAACTGTGTGCCAGGAGAGGGGATCCCTGTGGGTGCCTGGTCTGTGTGCCGAAGCAGAATCAGCTAAATGCTGTAGTAAATCACAGCAAACCTGAATATTACCCACTGCTGTTTTTAATACAAGTAGAGAAACTCTTCAAAGGTCTTATGTGAATACATTTTGTGAAGCATATAACTTTTTGGCTGATTAGTTTGACATTTTTTCTCATACTTAATTGGATTAGACAATCTTTTTGCTTTACAAAAGATCAAGGATGAGTTGAGCAAGTCAAAAATGTCCTTTATAAGTTGGTAACTGATGTCCACCTGAAGATAACATTTACATAAAAACTGTCCAGTTCAAAGTGGCACAATTTTTTCGCCATTTAGATTGCAAAAAGCGACCAGTGGTGTCATGATATCTGTACGTCGTCCACCGTGTGAGTCGTCCCCTTTTGTTCGAAGCCCAGTCATGCGGAAAAACAGTGAGAGCCAGTGTACGAACGAGGAAGAAACGGGGGCAAGAGGACGCTGAACCAGGTGAAACAGAGCATAGAGAACAGTGGAGGAGAGTCAGCGGCCTCGTAAACCTGCACCCGCCAGGCTGAATCCTCGGTTAGGGCTCGCGGAGGCACGGGGAGCTAACCAGTCAGCTTGGGCACGGACCCATAACGTGAAGGGTGGGCTCACAGGGCACACACACACGCACAAAGTCGGAGCTCTACCTGAGAACGGCAGCCATCGCAAATCAGCGGGGAATATGCTACCATCAGGCCCCATAACATCAGAGAGCACCTTGGCACTGACATCATATGACATGC